GTATGAAAAAAAGATGGTTTTGTGCCCAAATGGGGAAAATACAAGAGAGATAGAATCAATACTCAACTCTTAGCATTTTTAACACAAGTAACTCATCAATAACAGATCTGAAAACATTATTAAGAACCCTTAGAAACATGTATTTGAAAAATTAAAATGAAAGAGAAGGTTGTGTTGTGGCTTACTTGCTAAGCTTTGAACAAGAAGGCTCTCTTCCTTCTCCCTCTTCCTCTCTAGACTTCTCTCTCTTGCTCTCCTCCCTCTCCTCTAGCCGAATGTGTGTGTGAGTGTGTTGTTTGTGCTTGACAAGCTAGGGAATGTTGGTATTTATAGACAATTTTTTATGTAAAAAGTCCTAAAAGCCCATTAGTTGGAAATGGATGGAAATGTTAGGATTTGTTTAAAGTTTAAAGGAATAGGAGTGATTTGGGGGGGGGGGCTTACTCATAGGTTTAGGCAACATTTAGTTCAAATGGAACTAGTATTAGAATTATCATCCTAGGTCTAGGGTACTAGGTTTGTGGTTTTCTAGAATTTCATGATGATAAACTTTGAAAATTGGCTCCTCACTTCCTCCTAGAATGGCCGGCCCTAGGGAAGGGTGAAGGGACTATTTTTTTAATCAATTTAGGTTCTAGGGCACACTTCTCAAGGTGTATATATATATCTCACTTGATTGATGGTACTCATGGTACAAGGGTACAAGTATTAGTTTTTGGAGAAATTTTGAATTTAAATAAAGAGTGAGGGTTTGGTATTAAATTCATGTAACTTATGTAGAATTAAATTAGGTTAGGAAACCTAATCTGGCTAGGGTAATTCATGTTTTGATAAAAATAAAAGTAGTAATGCTAACCGACAAGATTCGAATTAATTCAAGTAACCGAGGGACTTTAAGAAAATAATTCAAACATTAAGGTCTTTAAAGAGAATACATATTTCAGGGGCCTCACAGACCTCAACTTACGCACGCTCCGAGTTGGATCCTTCGACACCGATTTGGCACAAGTTTTGGAAGTTGGTGAAAATAAGAGCTGTTGGAAACTCCTCGCCCCTTGGAATCGGGATGTTTTCTGCTGCCAAGAAGGTCGTGTATGTCGGCTCGTATTTAAGCAAAATATGGGCCGCCCTCCCTTATTTCTAAAGGCTTGGACGGCCGAAGTATTTCAACGTGACTTTTATCTCTGAAAGAACGGCGTCGTCGGTCGAGATCAAAACTTTCTTCAAATCGTTTCCTGCACAAGCAAAACCATTAGGTCCCAAAAGTGAATCTTTACAAATATAACAATGGAAAAATAAACACAAGAGGCTATACAGCCACCTGGTTCGCCCCTCCGCCTAGGAATTGGATTGAGGCAATCCTCGCCTTCGCCGAATTCCCAGTTGCCTTGGACAACGAACATAACGTCATCGACTCACTTCCCAGAGCTAAAAAGCATAGTTACTAGTTGATGGTTGGTGTCCTTGGCCCTAAGGAAGTAACGCCTGTGCCGACCAGAAGACTTAGCCAAGGCATAACAATGCCAGATAGCTGGAATGCCAAGGTTAATCCTAAGGGCGACTGTTTAGCTCTACAATTCCATTATGATTTGACAGAAATTAACATTGGGTTGGGAAGGAAGTAGACCCCAATGGCAGAGCATAGCCTTAAGGAGTGGGTGAAGGGGGAATCGGACACCACCCTCTGCGATTGATAGGAGAGGGAAGATGATCATGGTTTCGTCAGCCCTCTCCATATCGAAGGTTTCGTCTGTCGCAAGAGACAGACGAACGTCATTAGGAATGGAAAAATGGCGTCGGAAGCCAGAAATTCGATCCGAAGAGAGGAGATCTTTCAAATGTTTTGCCACCTTCTTCAGTTTATAGGTACATTCTAAATCAAAAACAAACCAGAAAAAAAGGATTTAGAGCAGAGAGGGAGAAAACTTACAAGAGACGAAGAGGATAGTGAATGAAAGGAAGTTACAGAGATAATTCGGAAGGAAGTCCAGAGACGAGTATCTGAAAGTGTATATGTATTTGAAAGGACGTCCAAATTTTAACTCATAATAAATAGAAGTGTACGAAGGGGCGGGAAGTTGAAATGATGACTGAGAAGCGTGTCCTCAGACATCTGCATTGGAATGAGGTCAGCCGCCGAATTTCGGCCTTGATTTTTTGTAATGACCCGACCTTCGTGCATGTTCCCTGATATATTTTCAGACCCTGTTTTGTGTTTTTGAATGCTTATTGTGAAATCCTTTGAAAAATTATGGTTAAGTAAGAGACTTTCATGTTTAGGGATGTCTATCTGTTAGACAAAGAAAGTATCTGTTAAATCTCTAAGTTAGAAGCAGGAATTGGAAGCCTTAGGAGCTTAATTATCTGAAATTGAGTTCATATATGTGATCAGCATAATTTTTAGGTACTTTTAAGTGGTTTTGTGAAATTTCAATTTTGGATATTTAAACGATTGATTTTCGTCTTTATTCTATATATATATGTATGTATGTCTATGAGAATCATTTGAACTTAAGACTTAGAAATTTCTCATAAAAACCCCTTAGGAGACAAGTGAAGGGGAGAGTGGAGCAAGGAAGGTTTGATTAAGAGAAGACCTAGAGGGGAAACTTCAACAAGATTAGAGATTGAATAGTCTAGATCTAAGCTCAGAAGTAAGTCTTTAGCTTCTCTGACTCCTCTCTTCAAATTTAAGTGTAATTCCATCATAATTGTACATCCTAGACTTGGAACATGCTTTCAAATTGGATGATTTTGAACTAAGTTGATTGTGCATATATGTGGAGAAATTATCTCTTATTTCTTACCATTTCATGAGAATCATGAAGAACTCACTATATATACATATATGTGATGTTGAATGCATAAGAAAATTAAGTTATGTTTGAGAATCAAGGATCTAATTTATGTCTAGATTGATATGTATGTATTTGGAGATGCTATTAACATGAGTTTTAGGTTATGTTCTATTAATTAAATATGCTAATTTGAGCTTGATAAAAATGTTCCAAAAGAATGTGATTTTGAAGCAAATTTCGGACAGAAAATGCAGGATCGCCGTACGTGCGGGAGTCACTGCCGCACGTGCGGGAGCCAATCGCCGCACGTGCGGGGGTTGTGGCCGTTCGTGCGGAAGAAGAACAAAATTGGAGTTTTGATTCTGCCTAAAAGGCACGTGCGGGCCGCACGTGTGGGACCAGCCGCCACACGTGCGGGGATCCTAGCCGCACGTGCGGCACATGTTGAAAAATATGAGTTGCTCTGTTTTGCGTGTAGGACCCTCTAATGTTGTCGAAATGTATATTTGATGCCTTCTCGATGTTGATAAATTCCTTCGAAGCAAAGCGGAATAGAAAGTAATTTGATAAGGGAAATAAGCTAATATGTAAGTTTGAATGTGTGCAGGGCACACTTCGGGAGGAACAAGCACGTCGTTACAACACTGTGAGTAGTAGTACCGTTATCTGCTTCAAATGTAGCTAATGATTGTCATAAGTATTATGTTCATGCATAAAATGTAACTATGTTATGTTTCAAAATATGTAAAGAAAGAAATGGGAAAGATGAAAAACATTCATTCAGTAAGACTCTGAAACCAAGTTATTCGGTTATTGTAATATGAAACAAAGTGCTACGCGGAGCTAAGTGCTATGATGTGAGCCACCTCTAGAATCCGTGTGAGACACCTCTTGGGTTCATACAAGCATGTCCAAGGGCTTAATACCAACTTACTCAAGGGCTTAGTGCCACATGATTCAAAGGCTTAATGCCAACTTATTCAAGGGCCTCGTGCCACTATGTTCAAGGGTTTAACGCCACCATGTTTAAGGGCTTGTGCCATTACGTTTAAGGGCTTATAGCCATCATGTTCCAAGATATCATGTTGCAAGCTACCATGTTTCAAGAATGAGCCGAGACCGTCATGAAATTAATACAGAATCAAACCAACTATGTGTGCACCTTTTTATGCTTTGATGTATTCTACTTCAAGTCAAGCATTATTTTATTTATGTATTACTATTCACTGAGCTTGGCTTACTCTGTGTTATGTCTGTTTCTGTAGGTAACCAACCAGGTGGTCAGTCTTAGCCCTGACACCCGTTTTCTTTTGTCAACCTTCGCGGGTCCAGGCACTGCACAAAGCCATTTATTTTTGTAAAGTTTGTTAAGATATTGGCTTACCTTTGATTACCCATTTAAGGTTGAATGTATAGAACTTCAATGATTTTCGTATAAGCCCATGATGGGCTGGGACTGTATGTATGTTTGTATATAACCGATGCTACGAGATATAGTTTGGAACTTTATTTATTTTCTATGGTGCTTGTGATGCATGTGAGGTCCTGGCATGTAGATGTGGCTCAATGGAGATTATATGTATCGCTATTTTCTTATCATATGCTTCCGATAAGGCCCCGTATATTATATACAACAGGTTAAATGTTCGTTTTCGAACGGGTCATGCCCAAACTTGTAGGGGCGGGTTTGAGGACGTGACAAGTGGTATCAGAGCACGAGTTGCTATCTCACACACGGATCCATTGAGCTTTAGGGTGTCTAGAAAAGCCTTAGGCATCTTGCATGACATCCTGAAAGTATATGAAAGAGCGATGGCAATGTTAAGTATACTCCGATAATGCTAACACTTTTGAAATATGTCTATTGTATATAAATGATTATTGTGTAGGCAATGGTGAGAACAAGGACAGAAGATGCAGAAGATGTTACTTCTGCACGGCTGGATAGAATGGAGAGAATGATTATGGAAATGGCAGAGACCCTACGACAACAACAGCAACAGCCACAACAACAACCGCCACTACCACCATCGATACCTCCTCCGGCAGTACAAGATTTCCATGCTGAGGACCAGACTATCACTCTTACTAAGGAGTTTAAAAAGATGAAATCGTCATCCTTCAAAGGAGGAATAGAACCAATGAAAGCTGAGGCGTGGGTGTTGGGAATAGAGAAGTTATTTGAAGTCTTTCCCTGCACAGAAGCTCAAAAGGTGCAACTGGCTGCCTTCACTCTTGAGGATGAGGCACGCAGATGGTGGATGCTTACGAGAACTATACACCAAGGATTGACGTGGGACAGATTCTTGGAATTGTTTTATGATAAGTACTTCCCTCAAAGCATGCGGGATAAGAAGGTAACAGAATTCGAAACTCTCAAACAAGGGAACAAAACCGTCGCCGAATACGAAGCCCAATTTGCAGAATTAGCTCGGTTTGCACCTTATATGGTGGACACAGATTATAAGAAGGCGCGTAAATTTGAAGGGGGATTGCGGAGCACTATCCTGGATAAGGTCAACATGTTGAAGTTACCCACTTACGTTGATGTGTTGGAGAGGGCTGTTATAGCGAAAGGGAATCTCGCTACTCAAAGTCGAATTTCGGAATGGAAAGGGAAGAGGCAAAATACTCAATGGTCGAAGGGGTCACCTACTCCACCAAACAAGAAGCAGACTTTAGGGAGTTCAAATACTTCCACCCCTAGTCAGGATTCAATGCCGACTTGTCCGGAATGTGGGAAGAAGCATCGTGGAACGTGCTACCGGAAGTCTAGAGCCTGTTTTCAGTGTGATAAGACGGGTCATTTGATCAAGGATTGCCCTCAAAGAAATCAACAGAGTAATAATAAGACTGCTACAAGTTCAGCGGGGTCTGCACCAACTTCCAACACGAAGACCACTGCTAAACCTACTAATAATAAAGACACTACGAGACAAGGCAGGGTGTTCGCATTGGTTCCGGGAGATGTACAAAATGCAGCAACAGTGGTGTCAGGTACATTTATTGTTCACGGTCATTTCGCTCATGTATTATTTGATTCTGGCTCCACCCACTCTTTTGTGTCAAAACTATTTGCTCCTAATTTAGATAAAACTGAATAAAAACTGTCTTATGTGTTGTGTGTGTCTTCACCTTTGGGAGACCCTATAATATGTGCTTCTATATATGTTGCTTGTGAACTCCAACTTGGGGATATCCGGGTATATGCCAATTTGTTACCTCTTGATATGGCCTATTTTGATATTATTCTGGGAATGGACTGGTTGGGTGAATATGGTGCAACTATAGATTGTTCGACCAAACAAATTAGTTTCCACCCTCCGGGACAATTAGACTCTACCTTTCAGGGACATGGAGTGACTTCTCCACCTTACTTGATTTCCGTAGCAAAGGCTTGTAAATTAATTCAGAAAGGGTGTCAGGGGTATTTATGTAGTGTGTTAGAGGGGCAAGTGGTGAATGGGAATACCGACAGAACGCAACCCATTTCTAAGACTCCATATAGAATGTCACCAGTTGAGATGAAAGAATTGAAAATGCAGTTGCAAGATTTACTGGACAAAGGATTCATCCGTCCGAGCGTATCTCCGTGGGGTGCACCAGTTCTGTTTGTGAAGAAGAAGGATGGAACACTCCGGCTTTGTATTGATTACAGGGAACTGAACAAAGTCACAATCAAGAATAAGTATCCATTACCAAGAATCGATGACCTATTTGATCAGCTTCAAGGGGCACAAGTCTTTTCCAAGATTGATCTACGGTCTGGATACCATCAATTAAAGGTCAAGGCTGACGATGTTGAGAAGACAACTTTTCGAACCCGGTACGGTCATTATGAATTTTTGGTTATGCCCTTTGGAGTTACTAACGCCCCAGCAGCCTTTATGGATCTGATGAACCGCGTTTTTAAGTCCTATTTGGATGAATTTGTGGTGGTCTTTATTGACGATATTCTCATTTATTAAAAGAATGCGGAAGCTCATGAGACCCATCTTCGCTTAATTCTTCAAACCCTCCGGGAAAGGAAATTGTATGCAAAGCTAAAGAAATGTGAATTCTGGCTACTCGAGGTGGTATTTCTGGGGCATATTATCACAAAGGAAGGAGTTTCTGTTGATCCACACAAAATTAAGGCGATTGTGAATTGGCCGACTCCTACCAATGTAACTGAAGTGCGTAGTTTTATGGGGTTAGCTGGCTATTACAGGAGATTTGTTCAAGATTTTTCCAAAATTGCCGTGCCACTTACACAACTGACTCAAAAGGGAGTTGCATTTGAATGGTCAGAAGAGCGGGAATTTTCTTTCCAGGAATTGAAGACGAGGTTAACCACAGCTCCAGTTCTGGCTTTACCGTCTGGTACCGAAAGGTTTGTAATTTACAGTGATGCGTCCCATAAAGGATTAGGGTGTGTGCTTATGCAAGGTGGAAGGGTTATCGCCTATGCTTCATGACAACTTAAACCCCATGAAAAGAATTATCCCACACATGATCTTGAGCTCGCGGCGGTAGTTTTTGCTTTAAAGATATGGAGGCACTATTTGTATGGCACTACTTGTGAAGTGTACACCGACCACAAAAGTCTCAAATACCTTTTTACCCAGAAGGAATTGAATATGCGGCAGCGTCGGTGGTTAGAGTTGATTAAAGACTACGATTTACAGATCCATTATCATCCTGGTAAAGCCAACACGGTTGCAGATGCTCTTAGTCAGAAAAAATATGGGAGATTTGGCTAACCTGGTTACGGAACAAAAGGAATTGATAAGTGAATTGGATAAAATGAATGTAGAGCTTGTGATACATGGACAGGAGGTAGTATTAGCAGCAATAATGGCCCAACCGACTTTACTTGAAGAGATCAAGTTACATCAAATGAAGGATGATACTCTAAAGAAGGTATGTGATGAGTTTGAGACAAAACCAAAACCGAGGTTCAGTTTAGTGGATTCGGTCCTCAAATTCCAAAATCGAGTATGTATCTCCAATGTGTTGGAGCTTAAACGGAAATTGATGGAAGAAGCACATGCCTCAAGATTTTCTATGCATCTGGGAAGTACTAAAATGTATCGAGACTTGAAACAAAATTTTTGGTGGCCAAACATGAAAAAGGAGATTGCAGAATTCGTCTCCAAGTGTTTGCAATGTCAGCAAGTGAAAGCGGAACATCAAAGACCAGCAGGATTATTACAACCCCTTCCAATCCCGGAATGGAAGTGGGAACATCTAACTATGGATTTTGTTGTGGGGTTACCACGAACACCTCGGGGTATGAATTCTATATGGGTCATTGTAGACCGGTTAACTAAGTTCGCCCATTTTTTACCAGTGAAAACTCAGTACAATGCAGATAAACTGGCGGTACTCTATATGAACGAAATTGTGAGGCTTCATGGCGTTCCAGTCTCAATTGTATCAGATAGAGATCCAAAGTTTGTTTCCAGATTCTGGCAAAGTTTACAAGAAGCAATGGGTACAGAATTAAAGTTTAGCACAGCTTTCCATCCTCAGACTGACGGTCAATCCGAAAGAACGATACAGACTCTAGAGGATATGCTCCGAATGTGTGTGTTAGATTTTCAAGAAAGTTGGGAAACCTACCTACCGTTGGTAGAGTTCGCATACAACAATAGTTACCACTCAAGTATAGAAATGGCACCCAATGAAGCTCTGTATGGAAGACCATGTCGTTCTCCCGTATGTTGGGCTGAAATTGGAGATAAATCCTTACTCGGACCTGAAATTGTTCAGTTAACCACTGAAAAGGTTAAAATTATTCGGAAAAGATTGAAAACTGCTCAAAGTAGACAGAAAAGTTATGCAGATAACCGACGGAGAGATTTGGAATTTGAAGTGAATGGTCATGTCTTTGTGAAGGTTACTCCGATGAAAGGACACCCAAGATTTGGGAAAAGGGGTAAGTTGACACCCCGATATGTTGGTCCCTTTCAGATTTTGAAAAGAGTGGGTCTGGTAGCTTACCGAGTTGCCCTTCCGCCACATATGAGTCAAGTACATAATGTGTTTCATGTCTCTATGCTTCGTAGATACCTTCCGGATCTGTTACACGTCATTGATTACCACTGAATTGAGTTGGATGACAAGCTAACTTATGAGGAAAAACCAATCCGTATATTGGACCGGCAAGTGAAGCAATTACGAAATCGAGAAATTCCAATGGTAAAAGTGGAATGGCAAGAACATTATGGAACTGACGCAACTTGGGAAAGAAAGGAGGAAATGCAACACCAGTATCCACATTTGTTTCTACCCTAAGGTAAAACAAGTTTGGAGGACCAAACTTCTTTAAGGGGGGGAGAGTGTAATGACCCGACCCTCGTGCATGTTTCCTGATATATTTTTAAACTCTGTTTTGTGTTTTTGAATGCTTATTGTGAAATCCTTTGAAAAATTATGGTTAAGTAAGAGACTTTCATGTTTAGGGATGTCTATCTGTTAGACAAAGAAAGTATCTGTTAAATCTCTAAGTTAGAAGTAGGAGTTGGAAGCCTTAGGAGCTTAATTATCTGAAATTGAGTTCATATATGTGATCAGCATAATTTTTAGGTAATATTAAACGGTTTTGTGAAATTTCAATTTCAGATGTTGAAACGATTGATTTTCGTCTTTATTCTATATATATATATATATATGTATGTATGTCTATGAGAAGCATTTGAACTTAAGACTTAGAAATTTCTCATAAAAATCCCTTGGGAGACAAGTGAAGGGGAGAGTGGAGCAAGGAAGGTTTGATTAAGAGAAGACCTAGAGGGGAAACTTCAACAAGATTAGAGATTGAATAGTCTAGATTTAAGCTCAGAAGTAAGTCTTTAGCTTCTCCGACTCCTCTCTTCAAATTTAAGAGTAATTCCATCATAATTGTACAACCTAAGAATCACGAAGAACTCACTATATATACATATAGTGATGTTGAATGCATAAGAAAATTAAGTTATGTTTGAGAATCAAGGATCTAATTTATGTCTAGATTGATATGTATGTATTTGGAGATGCTATTAACATGAGTTTTTGGTTATGTTCTATTAATTAAATATGCTAATTTGAGCTTGATAAAAATGTCCCAAAGGAATGTGGTTTTGAAGCAAATTTCGGACAGAAAATGCAGGATCGCCGCACGTGCGGGAGTCAATGCCGCACGTGCGGGAGAAGAACAAAATTGGAGTTTTGATTCAGCCTAAAAGGCACGTGCGGGCCGCACGTGCGAGACCAGCCGCCGCACGTGCGGGGATCCTAGCCGCACATGCGGCACATGTTGAAAAATATGAGTTGCTCCGTTTTGCGTCTAGGACCCTCTAATGTTGTCGAAATGTATATTTGATGCCTTCTCGATGTTGATAAATTTCTTCGAAGCAAAGCGAAATAGAAAGTAATTTGATAAGGGAAATGAGCTAATATGTAAGTTTGAATGTGTGCAGGGCACACTTCGAGAGGAACAAGCACGTCGTTACAACACTGTGAGTAGTAGTACCGTTATATGCTTCAAATGTAGCTAATGATTGTCATAAGTATTATGTTCATGCATAAAATGCAACTATGTTATGTTTCAAAATATGTAAAGAAAGAAATGGGAAAGATGAAAAACATTCATTCAGTAAGACTCTGAAACCAAGTTATTCGGTTATTGTAATATGAAACAAAGTGCTACGCGGAACTAAGTGCTACGATGTGAGCCACCTCTAAAATCCGTGTGAGACACCTCTTGGGTTCATACAAGCATGTCCAAGGGCTTAATGCCAACTTACTCAAGGGCTTAGTGCCACATGATTCAAAGGCTTAATGCCAACTTATTTAAGGGCCTCGTGCCACTATGTTCAAGGGCTTAACGCCACCATGTTTAAGGGCTTGTGCCATTACGTTTAAGGGCTTATAGCCATCATGTTCCAAGATATCATGTTGCAAGCTACCATGTTTCAAGAATGAGCCGAGACCGTCATGAAATTAATACAGAATCAAACCAACTATGTGTGCACCTTTTTATGCTTTGATGTATTCTACTTCAAGTCAAGCATTATTTTATTTATGTATTACTATTCACTGAGCTTGGCTTACTCTGTGTTATGTCTGTTTCTGTAGGTAACCAACCAGGTGGTCAGTCTTAGCCCTGACACCCGTTTTCTTTTGTCAACCTTCGCGGGTCCAGGCACTGCACAAAGCCATTTATTTTTGTAAAGTTTGTTAAGATATTGGCTTACCTTTGATTACCCATTTAAGGTTGAATGTATAGAATTTCAATGATTTTCGTATAAGCCCATGATGGGTTGGGACTGTATGTATGTTTGTATATAACCGATGCTACGAGATATAATTTGGAACTTTATTTATTTTTTATGGTGCTTGTGATGCATGTGAGGTCCTGGCATGTAGATGTGGCTCAATAGAGATTATATGTATCGTTATTTTCTTATTATATGCTTCCGATAAGGCCCCGTATGTTATATACAACAGGTTAAATGTTCGTTTTCGAACGGGTCATGCCCAAACTTGTAGGGGCGGGTTTGAGGACGTGACACTTTTCGAGTTTGAAACCAAACACTCTAACCAACTGTCATTAGTGGGGTGCTTGGGGGGCAATTGTAGGGGCTGAATATTGGGGATCGTTGTAATAACCCTCATCACTGCTTACCGATAAAACACTGATTACCGTCAAACTGAACTGATTATGACTGATAATTGAACTGATTAAAGTACTGAACTGACTGACTGAAAACTGGAACTGAATTGACTGAGTATGTGTGTTAATCTATATTCTATCTGTTTGATTGTTTACTTGATCTGTTCACGTTTTATGTTTAAACTGCTAATTGAAGGCCTTATCGGCGGCCAAACCGGGAATTAATTGATGTTTTATGATCATCATAATTTATGTGATTTTATGGTATAATTATCTGAAAACTGATTAGGTATGATTAAATTAGATTAAATATCAATGAATTGCAAGTGTTAGGCTTATTTACACTTTTGCCACACTTAGTGGCCACCATCTCACACACATTTGAGCCTTGTATACACTTATACACTTAGATCAAAACATTGCTCAGCCTTTCTCCTTGCCATAGTCGACCAAGAGGGGGAGAGAGTGAGAGATTGAATTGTTCATCTTGAATTGCTTAGTAATTGAAGTATAGATTACATATTTGAGCTCCCAGTCTTCTAATTCCAAGACTTAGGTAAGGATTTCATCTTCTCATTCTTGTGTTTGAGCTAATTCTTGCATGGTCCATGTTAAATGGTAGAGCTAAGTCATGTTTTAGTTCATACATGTTGATATAGAGCATAATCCATGCATGCATGTTTGAATTGTTGGATCTTGAGTTGAGTTCATGGCAAATTGTTATATGCATGTCCATGATTTTGTAATGGTCCATGTTTTCATCTTGTTTTTGGATCAATTGGCTCCTTAGAGCATCAAATTGAGCTTTGAGTTGTTTAAAATTCATGCATGTTTGCATGTTCATCCTGTTCTTGAAAATGGTTTGAAATTGAGTTTGAATTAAGCACCCTTGGGCCTTGATTTCTCAATGTTGAGTTTTGAATCATGTTTAACTATGTGTTTACAAATGTTTTCTGGAAATTCAGCCCAAGAGGTCGAGTTTTGAGTTGTTAAAACTTGGTTTTTGGCTTGGAGGTGCAATCTGGGTTTTCCAGATTTTGCACTTCTGCTCGAGCGGGGACTAGTGACGCTCGAGCGTGGAATCCGAGCATCCAGTATTTTCTCTGCACTGTTTTACAGTCCGCTCGAGCGGAGTATTGGGAGCTCGAGCGGAGGCATGTGTCTCACGATCGAGCGGGCGTCGAGCGTCCGTCGAGCGAAGATTTCACCCATCCAGTACTTTTACAGTACACTCGAGCAGGAAAGTTGACGCTCGAGCGTGTACCTTTGTTGCATGACCGCTCGAGCGGGGAAACCGCGCTCGAGCGGGACTCTATTTTTCTGAAACTTCTGAAACTGCTTTTTGAGTACATCTTTGCATCCTCATCCCATTCTAGGCATTCTTAGGCCTAGTTTAAGACATTTTATTGAGGATATAGATGTAGAGAACACACCGAGGCAATTAGGGATTAAGTTATTATCTTTCCCAGCTGTGTAGCTTAGTGTGTTCAATCTGTTAACTGTGTAGGGTTGGCGACTGGAGAGACACGCTCTAGCATACTGTAGCCCAGAACTCTGTGAGTAACGATTGTGTAAAGATATGTTCACAAATGATTGTTTTCTGAACAACTAAACTGTACTGCTTTCTGAACTGACTACTGTTAATTGAATGAATGTATGTCCTATATTCTGAACTGTATTGTGGCATCCTTAGCGCCTACTGTTTACTGTTACTGTTATGGAGATCTCTGTCGGTTCTCTTGTTGGAACCACTACTATTTACTGACTGATGGCCATCATTACTGTTCGGTCTTTTAAGACCTACTGTTATGCTAATGGGTGTACCACATATGACTGTACTGATTGATCGACTGAAATACTGTTTAAACAGACTGTTTTCATTACTGTAAGGACATTCATTCTTAACCTCTTTACGCATTATGTTATTCACTGGGCTTTAGCTCACTGCTCTTATATATATGTAGGTGTTCAGGCACCAGACTGCGGCTAGGAGCGTCAGGGTTACTCCAGTTTTGTCAAGCCAGCCTTTGTGCCTCACTGCGAGGTTCCGAGCCTACCATGCTAAGGTTTAGGGGTGTTTTAGAATTCCCCCTTCTGTACTGTCTTACTGTTTTGTAATAATCGAATGGATTGCATAGACTGAATGTTTACTGTACTGTTATGCTAGAGATGGAGTCCCTAGTCTGAATGATTGTATATAATGTGCATACTGTCCTGTACTGGTCATGTATATATATGTGAAAAATCTTTTTTCATACAGACTGTCACAGCTCATTGGACACTGTTTACTTACTGTATTGGCTTCCGCCAGGCCCTGTACTCTGTTTTACTGTCTTACTGTTAAGCAGGCCTTCGGTAATCTCGGATTACTGGCCGGTTACGGTACTAAACCCATGGGGCTGGGTTTGGGTCGTGACAATCGTAAAGAGTCTGAATGACTAAACTTGGAGAGTTGGAATATAAATATAGTATTCGGCTTCATCCCGCGATTTCAAATCCTACCCTATTCAGTCAAAAGGCCGGTTGGGCAAGGGGCCGAGTGAAAAGTAGTTTGCTTTAAAAGAAGCCGAATGGCGAACTAAAGGTGAGCCCAGCCCTAAGGCCCAAGAAAGAAAATATATAAATAGAAGAACATCCGCCAGAAAGAGGTATGTGAGAACTATGGTGCTTAACTTAGAATACAAGTAATCCTGAGTGCAGAAACTAACTTGCCCGTCAAAGTGCTAATTCTGGCACCCCTAACCGGAGTGTTTATTCATTTTCAGGTGACTAGCAGAGGATCACTAGCGTCCCCCAGGATCTGAAGAGTATTTCCAAACCACTTCTCCACAACTATATAAAAGTCCCTCAAATACTAATTAATCTTAATAATTTGTTTCTTCTATTGATTGGGTTTTTATAATTCTAATTCTATTTCTTCTTAAAAAATTTCGTATTATGTCAAATTTTTTTAGAAACAATCAAAAACTCACTTTATTAATGATGATCAAGCAATAATACAATGACAATTATCTATAAAGGGAAGAGTGCAAAAAGTATCGTAGCAAAACAACTTGATCCTAACTAGGTTGGCATCGAGAAGCTTGCCCATTCATCTACTAGCACCCCCACACAATTGGCAAGACACCGACCCAAGAACCAAATCCAACACCAAAAGGTCCACTAGAACAAACAAGACAATTAAATACAAATATATGGAAATGAACCCAGCAGCAATAACAGCAAATTAGCCGTGGACCCCTCTTCTCCCAAAGCAACATCTGATTTGCCTCAAATTAATCAAGAAATCTTGCACTGTGAAGTGAAACTCCTTGAGCTTGAATTCAATCACAAAGCAACTTTTATCTTAATCAGTCTACACAGTTCATCAGACTTAAGAATAGCTAGCTGCATGAAAAACACATTCATTTCTAAGTTTCCATATGGACCACAAGACAGCCAAATGTATGACTCTCATATTTTCTTTTCTTTTCTGTTGAGCCTTTCTCCATCCCACTATAGTAGTACGCCTTCAACAGAACTTGGTAGTGGCCCTAGCACCTCCCACCAATTCAACATTGCTGCCCAAACTCTCCAAGCAAAACGATTGTGTAACAGAACATGACATACTGATTCATTTTCAGATTTACAAAAAATACAAAGAGTTGATGCATTAACTTGATTAACACCAATTTTTTGAAGAAACTTGACTCTGTTTTTCCAAGCTAGCCAGCCAAAGAATTGGACTTTTAGAGGTGCAAATTTATTCCACACTAGCTCACTGTTTCTGAGAGGGGGGCCAAGCGTTGCTTCTGCACTTTTATATGCAGATAACAAAGATAACACAGTCGAATTTGTAACTTCCCAAGTTAGGCTATCCTTCAGTGCATCTCTTATTACAGG